ATTAGCATATCTAATAGGTGTTTCTCGCTAATAATACGTTTTGTGTGCTTATACGAAAGATCTCTAAGTAATATATAAAATATGAGCGGCCGATCTGTAATAAAGATTTCTCATAATAGCGAAGATTTTTCCGCGACATCTCTCTCCAACAAAATCTCTTATTGATGACATGGCAGACCGAGCGAAACAATTGAACATCCCGGCATGTAAATACACGAGCGAAGTCGACATTCAAGCTAGAGAACATCAAACTATTTTCAATACTCCTATTGATATGCAAAGTGAAATAAGTTACAATACGGCCTTATTAATGGGCGTGCGGTGTCATGTGCACGGGGTTTACGCAATAAATGGAGTATAAATGGTTTTTGAACAATTGTACTCATTCTTGCTCAGTTTTTTGAGCGGAAAAGGAGCTCTAAAACGAGTTTGATTTTTTCTTGGCGACCCACGCAAAATCCTATGGCTCAAAACCAAGTCCAGTTCCCAGTAGAAGACGCCCCACCGGAGAATGAAGCAGAAGGACAACCTCAGAATGCGGTTGAATAAGTTCCTGCAGACGGGCAAGCGCCGGTAGAACAAGCCCAGGGACGAGAAGCCCAAGTACCGGAGGGCGAGTAGGAGCTAATTATATTTCTCTTCTTAGTTATGATGTTATGCGTGGGTTTGCTGAAATGGTTACGATAATGGTTTCGAAATGCATGACAATTTGTGCAATACTTGTTTGTAGAAGGATTTCTTTGGCGGGTTGGTTCAAAGAATGACTACAACAAGGGTTTTTAAAGGCATGTTTAGTGGCTTCATGTCGCTAGTAATATCGTTGTTTGTTTGGATATTAAACGACTTCTTTGACGGTTGTGTTCAAAGGACGATTATATCAATTATGGTAACGGCTTAAATGCATGTGCTATATGTGCTATAGATGTATATTTACTCATTGGTACAGCCTTTTGCAAAAATTATGAGAATTGTTGAAATATCTAAATATCATAATATCAAGTGCATGATCCHGCGCGATGCCCTTAGTCCCTTGTCTTTGTTGTTTAGTTTTTTTTGGCGAAGTACTCATCCGTAGTTCTGAACATTTTCTCGATGTCAACAATGAATTATTCTAGCAAACCCGCGTGTTCCGGACAATATATGGATATGGATATTATGATATTTAGATATCTAGATATTTAGACAATTCTCATAATTTTTGCAAAAAACTGTATATAAATTGAATTAATATATATATATTTACTCACTGGTAAATTGAATAAATTGAAGAACAAGGCACACAACTTGCAACTAGTATTTTACTCTTTATTCGAACGTTTCGGCACTTGGTATATATATACTTTGGTATACACCTAATTGAAAACACGTAGTCGAGTCCGAAAAAGATAATATCATAGAAGCTAAGACCGAGGGTATATCTGGGAAGATAAATTTTGGCTAATTTCGTATGTACAAAAATCATGGCCGCCTCAGTGACAGAATATGTGGTTGCAGGAAATAGAATGTATAGACCCTGTATTATCGTCGTAGCCTCAATAGAATGCATTCATGCACACATGTTTGTGCACTTTAAAAAATCATTGCCRCACTATTTTTGTAGATAAACAAAACCCACACAATCGAAGTTGAAATGCCGCAAGTTTCATTCTTTACTGGAAGACGCGGTAAAGGAACCGTAGATGAAACGAATTCCACTGCCACATCTTCGTCAACTATCAGAGCAGAAGGTACTATATTTTTCATTTTTATTTCGAGGAAGACTTAGTAGAGGTATTCTTAGCAAACCTATTTTTTTACAGCTTCGAGTGCGTGGTATGATTCTAGATCAAATCGCCAAACTGAAGGGGCTATTATACAACAGCATCYTGACAGAGGATCAGTTTAAGACTCAGCGAGATAAGCTGATCCAAGAGCTGAATGGTGTAAACTAAAGTTGTACTATAGAGCAAACGCAGGAAAACCAGAAAAAAATAAAATCAAACAAAATACTAACTAATAGCTTCGATAATAGCTAATAACTAATATTTAGTATGATTTTATTTCATGGTTTTCCTGCGTTTGCTCTACTATAAATTACACAAATTAATCGACATTTAAGAGCGGTTTTCCGAGACCGTCAAGCAAGGTTGGTAAAATGAGAAAATTCAAAATCCTTCAAACTTTGTCATAAAATTGTATTTGGTGAGCTGGTCATGCTGTGTGAGTTTGGGTTCAATCGGGATAATATTCGGGAAGAAAAGCGACAATGTTTGATTTCAATGTTTACTTCCGGTTTTTTCGCTTAATTTAGTGCACTGTACAAAACGCAAAATAACAGCAAACTTTCTTCGTTTTGAAAAGAAATCGAATTTTCTCTACAAAATATATATATTTCTTTGTTATATTACAAAATATTGCAATAAAATATTAGAAAGAGAATATTTTACAGAATTTTAATTAATTAACATTTTTTCGAGCTAAATTTACTATGCATAAATAAAGCCCAAATAACTCCGATGTTATATCGATTTAGACATTGAAATCATAACTGTTTTAACGTCTTAAGATAGCTTATTCAAAATATGGAATAAAAGTTTTGGGCAATTCAAATCATGATTTTTGGCGACTATTTTTGTAAGCGGTATTTTAGCCGAAATTCGCGCTTTGTTGACATCTCTGGCACACACGTGCGAAGTCACGCAATTCGAAGCAACTTTTAAAACATACCATTTCCAAGGGAAGTTTTAAAAAGAGATTAGGTTTGGTCTTGAATAAAATATTTCAGCCTTATAATAGCAGCAAAGGACAAGAATATTATTATTTCAAGCTGTCAGCTTGATGAAGTACTATGTCGTGACATATAAACAATTTTCCCGAATAAATTAAATCGCGTTAAATCTTCAATATTGTTTTAAAACCAGTTATTCCGGGATAATTTTATATAGCTCAAATAGAATTGYATTGAGGAGACTTTTCAAAACGTTTTTACATACAATGTTAATTTTTCACACACTCCGGTGATGCCGGGGATGCTCGTCGAATCTCTTTTAGGGGTAAAAATTCGTGATTGGCCATGGAATCTTTTAGGGAGTGTGTGAAAAGACAAATCGAAAAAATAAGGAATAGTATGCCGCAACCATCAAAACTGCAATTATACTGACATCCATCGAAGACAATAAGAAGRTTTTAATAACACGTTAATCCTAGTRCAGTGAAACKATATTTCTACTATTTCTACTGTATTTCTTATGAAAATATTACCCTGTCCAAGACACAAAAAAAWATATATCGGTSTTTTATCTARATTGTAGAGCCTGTTTAAGACAATTTAGGGTGAAATGTGTACCCTGTTTAAGATAGCAAGGCCAAAAACCATACCCTGGCCAGCKKCACRTCCCYGTATAGCAAATATATGGGAGTACCCCACACTCATAGAAATATTTAATTTTCAAAATAAACAAATAAATCAACATTTTCTGAATTTTGCGACATTCGAGGCTTCCTTATGTTTAGTTATGTCGTTTTTGTACTACACAAGTTTTTTTTAGCTAGAACCTGTACTATAAATGGTTCATTTTTGTGTAAATTGCTTTGACAATATTTTTAGTATCTTTCTAGATTTTTTTACGTCCTTTGAAATAGATTAAATATATAAATCCCACTCTCATTCATTGTTCTGGTTCTCATTCCCAGTAGTCAGAGTTAAAAATCCCAGTCCCAGTGCATCGGGCAATCCCATTTTCCCAGCCAAATATCTTAGGGGATAAAAATCAGCCAGCCACGCCCTTCCGGGATCTTTTAGGGTTCTTTTTGAAAATTCGTTCGTTGCGTACTGAAACTACTCAAATCGTTGCTAGAAAGATGTATGACGCTATTCACTGTAAAGTTTTTGTGGGTATACTATGCCCACGGAAGATGTAACTCTAAAAGGTGTAAAAACGTTGCCTACAATCCTACAACTACGAATTTTCACAATTAAATTAGATTCGCAGGGGAAAATATAACAGGCATATTAGATTCAACGTAATTATTGCAATCTTTAAAATCAGATAGAGGACAAAAGCTAATATATATGTACTCATTGGTTTTTGGTCTTGTAGTTAATTTAGGATCCCTGTGTTTGTCGCTCAAACAAACTACTCAACTCTGTTTCGTCTAGAATTAAAATCGCGGTAAATTTTCACCGTTATCAATATTCATCTTTTCTATAAAACAA